TACCCTGTACTCCTCACACATACACTCACTCAGTGGGTTCCATATGCATGACAATGGCCCGAGCTGAGACACTGACAGGAGAGGGACAGGGGAGTGATAGCAGAGAGGAGGTGAAAGGCCATATCCTGAACCAACTGTCTTTAATAGATGGCAGAGGGTAGAATGTGTGAAAAAATGTGTATGTGTGTGCATCCATGCATGAATCATAAAACATAAAAGAACCTCTGAGTGACATAAGGAAGGCTGTGCCGCTGCAGATAGTGAGTTGGGTGGACTTCAAGTGAGAGACAGAAAAAATTGAGATAGATACTCTAGTGATGTTCAGATCAAGACTCTGGCAGAAAAGACAGATAAGCAAGCCGCTGGTTTTATTGGCAGATTGATTGGCGAGCATAGACACTCCGATTGAGAGTAACAGAAATATATGGCAGCGTCTACATGAATAAACTCTTGGAAAGTCATATGAGTCACTCTCAGCTCTGTGGAATTGACAGGATTGACCACTAAATCGTATGAGCCTACTGCTGATGTACACAAATGTGAACTTTGCTTACACGAGTGTCTGGTGGACAACAAAAATAACTAAGATTTAGCTTTTAGGCAGACATGTGCTATTCAATAGCTGTCATGCTTCAGAAAGAAAGAGCCAAAAGAGAGAAAACGATGATGTGTGAACCATAAGGTATCCACTTCAGACAACGAGTAATTTGTCAGAAAAATACAGCTTTCTCCCTTTAATCATAGGAAAGAATGTGTCTGCTTCTGAAAATCCTTACAAGCAAATGCAGATAACAAAAGAACAGAGCCTTTAAGCTGTCTGGAGGTTTTCACCAGGCTAAAAGCTTTGCTGCCTATTGAGCAGTTGTGTTATTGTTGCACCGCAGAGAACAAAAAAAAAAAAAAAATCACTGCATCCAAATGTTGCATGTCTTTTTTTAATTTCTATTTTATCAGGCTATGAAAGCCAGTTTACTCTGCTCGTTAATTCAAACAAAAATCTCTGTAAACCAACATCTCAAAAATATGATGTATCAGTCATTCACTCAAGGAGAAAAACAGTTTTTTAAAATTACAAAATTATGAAGGATAACAGATTTGAGACATTTCCCAAATGATGCATCCAATTTAGAAATCACACATTATGTAAAAGCTGGTTGAAAATTGGAGATTTTCTTGTGACAGTCTTTTTCAAGTATTTCCTGGAGCAATAAATAGAATTTTCTAAAACATGTCCTATTCCGATTTTTTAAAAAGTAAAAAACATCAGTTTCCCTTTACAACAACAGGAGCAAGCACAGGCACTAGCTCTATTATTAACAGTCTCGACCATAACAAAACATTTTCTCCAGGGTCTATAGAACATTATATTTCATAATGAAATATGATGCAGTGCTCTCTCTAATGACTAAATCTGCAGTGCATATTGCTCCCTGTTGACCCTTTTCCACCTGGAGCAAGTGCTGAACCTTTTTGCTTGTGAAACGCTCGTCCAAGTGCTCTGCTCTGCCAAGCTGCTGGCCCTGTCAGATCCATTTACAGAGAAGCAGACCGGACAGCTGTCTGCATGTCCAGAGGGGTCTTGGGAGAACCCACTTATTTCTTTTCATTAAGGCTGACTGATCAGGGGGCTCTGCTGGGAGGTCTACTCATCTACCCTCTCTTTTATACTTCATTTGGGCATCATTCCAAACGTAGTCTAACCCAGCATTACTAAATAGCTCCATAAAAACTCAGAAAACACCAAGTTCTATAAAACGGATAATTCCTGGACAGAGGTCTGTGATCAAAAGACAATATTAAAATTAGTTTTCGCGTGCACATTACACTCAATCTGCACTCCAGATTCCAAAACTAAGTGAAACTTGAGTTTTATTGTTTTAACAGTTTCAAAGTGTGAACATAGACTGACAAATTAAATTATATCAGATTAGATATTAACATTTTCTGTTTACACTGAGGGATATTTTAGGATTAGTTTAATCTTAAAGAACAATAAACAAAAATCTGAGGATCCTAAGCTAAGTACCTGCAGTGTAAGGAATGCTTCTTTTTTTGTAATTTATAAAACAGATCACTTTGCTTTCAGGTTTTACAGTAGGCTATGCAAAGGGAGACTGGTTTGAATCCCGTGTGTAGCCAAAAGTCTGCACTTATATGAAGCACTTCCACATACCTGTGCTCATCTTGTTGGGGAAGTTTTGGAACAGACAGGTAGAGGGAGGGGAACTTTTCCGCCTACTGGAGCTTTATGAGAAATGTATTAATGATGGGCGAATATATTGATAAATTTGTGCATGATGTCACCTCACAGTATAACAATCGACCAGGGCCTTTTCCCACAGGGGGTTTATACAATATTGCACTTTTCACTCCAGGTACTCCTGCTACCTCAAACAGTCCAAAGGCATGCGCATTAAGTCCACTGGTGATTCTAAACTAAACACATGTGAATGTAGCATGTGTTGTTGTGTGTCTCTGTGCAGTGGATTGGTAATCTGGCCAGGGTGTGTCCAGCCTGTTGCCCTATAGTGGCTGAGATGGGCTCCAGCCCCCCTCAAATCCTGAAACTCTGATTTGGATAAGTAGTAAAGAACATGATGGATGTTGTGTTGCTAAAAGCTAAAGCTGAATAAATAAACACAGAGTACAGTAACTATTACCTCCACTAGAATAACTAGCAAGCATGCACTGGTCCCTCACATAAAATCTTTGTTTGAAACCTTTTTCCTGGATTCATTACTACTACTACTACTTTCACTGGCGCCATCTGTCCATTATCAGTACTCCCTCCCTGCTAGTAACCCTAATGCAATGTGTAATTACTTGCTAAAGTTTACTTGCCATATTAGCCAAATTAGTGATTTTTTATCCCCATGTATGAAATATGCAAAGTGTCTCCCCAGGGGTGGGTTTAGGATGAGGCAAACATACATAGTCAGACCTGAATAAGATGTAAGAGAGCTCCACGGGCAGCAGTGCAGAACAGAGCTAAACACCGGTTAATGTGACAATGTGTTCAGCGAAAAAAAGCTTTATGGCAACCATGGAGGATGGTGACTAAAAGAAAAAGGGGGGATCAATCACAACAGCACCAGGAAAAGATCCACGGATGAACAGATAATATAGAAGATGGGTGGATAAGGGAAGCGGGAAGGAAAAAAGGATATCCTAATACATGACAAAATATTAGATGGAGATAGTTTAAGGCCACGCTTACATATGGAATCTTTTAGGTTTCCATATTTCTAGTTTAAATCCAGAAACATTTATATGGCTTTTTACGCGTCAACTTGGGATAGAAATCTCAAAAGTCTTAAAGGTCAAACTGAAAAGCCCAGCATCTTCAAACGAGTAGTACAGGTTACTCTTTAAAAGAAAGATTTAATCTGTTAGATTATCCCTATAAAGAAAGGTTAGACATAGAAGATGTCAGTGATAAAATGTCCTGATTCGAAACTGGTTTTTCAAGTAAGAAAGCAAAAAACTGAAATAAAGCAGCACCCTAGTAGAAAATTAAATCTGGGATATAGTATAAAGTGATTCAAAAACGTGGCCAATAGTGGCAAATTCAGAGATCTAAAACTATATTTAGGACAAAATGAACTATGTTGTGTTTATCTACATCAGTCAAATCCATCCTCTTTCTACCAAGATGAAAGTTAGGAACTTTTTATTTCTCTTCAATATAAAACAGTATAAATGTATGGGCACAGTGCTGATGTGCTTTATATAGACTGGATCTTTGCCTTTCATTCATTTTCCCTTTAAGCTGCCCTCTTTCAGCCTCCGTAGTGTTTTCTCCTTCATTCTCCATTCACAGTCAAAGATCTGCCTAATTGGATATGAATTAAAACTCGGCCGGCTTCAAAGAAAACAAAAACTGTTTGGCTTTATTGTGCAGTACCGTCTATTCTTTAAAAAAACAAAAACACTTCTTATGAGAATTTATATAGCACATGCATACAAACACTGGTCTAATATACAAACTCAAATGCACTGTATTTCCTCAAAGAGCAACATCCCAATAGCAAGCTGATCTTTTGAACCAGTTTAAAAAGACTGATTGCTTTTATTGTGAGCCTTTGCTTTGCTTTTATCAACCGTTTAAACTGCCAAATTCACCAATTGTTGTTTTGTGGCTTTTATCTACTTTGGAGCCGTATCAGTGCATTTTGTCATGATAATAATGTGCAAATTGGCCCATTCATTATTGTTTTTTTGATGGAGAAATTGGCTAAAATAAGCACTTTGTAGATAAGCATAGGGTCTGAACACTATTTGCAAAAGCATCTGCAGAAAACAGAATGCATTTCAATGCACTGAATGCCAAAACTGATTTTAATACACTAATAATGGTGTAATCTTCCTATCAGAAAGTCCCCAAACACAGTGCACGCCTGGTGACTTATAAATCCGCTCAATGAGCACGTTGTATTGATTTAACTTTCTACTCGAAGTGTCAAAGTAACAAACACGTAGATGGTGATTCTCAGAAGTTAACTGATTCTGTGTAGGTACTGAAGGGATTCTTTGTCTCTGCACCCTTCTGGTCCACTGTCAGTCTGGCTGTCAAACTCCTTCTAGGTCTGACTCATTCAAGCCAGCCTTCTCTCTCGTCTTCACAGGGGGAAGAAGGCTTTAAAAATATGTCCTTATGTGTCCCTCGCTCCAAATATGGAATAAAGGAAAATAAACAAGAGTTTGTTGATGGTAACGCTCTGACCTTTATTTTGCTAAAACTCAACTTGGATCCTTTTTTATTGTCGTTTTTTTGTGTGCAAGGAACTTTTTTTTCTTCTTCTTTTTTTCCTTCTGGCAAGCCAGGAAAAAAAACCCGAACAACAACAACAACAACTTTGAAAACCACAGCTTTAAAAAAAAAGGGACATTGGTACATCTCTCAAAGGAAATTTGAGCGGAATGAATGATAAGAGAAACTATTTAGAGCAACACAAACTGCACACTAATACGCCGAATTAAGCAAACCTTCGAATAAATATCACATGCAAAAGATACTAAAGCTGACAAAGATGACTTCTGTGCCCTACCTTCTTTGCTTGATGGACACAGGTCATGTATTGTTTGGCCAGGCTGGAGCAGTGGAGAGTCTCCTGTGGATTTTCCTTGTAGCACTGGAGCACCTTGGCCTGCAGCTCAGCGCACAGATATTCAGTATGTTGGGGTCTAGAAACACACAGAGAGAAGGAAAAGCTCAAATCTGCTTGCCAACATCACCGCCCCCACCCACCAGGACCAGAGATCAAGGTTGTAAATGCTACTATGTGAACTCAAGATAGTAAAGTCAGTTCAGCTGCAATAGAAATAGAAGTTGTCACACATGAGAAACACAAAGCTGTAGCGTCTGTTTGTCGAAACACTGATTCAGATAATCAGGAAAATAACTACCAAAACAGTTGTTATTTCCAACTGTGATTGCTTAATGGAAATTTCAACCACAGCCACACAGACGAGGTCAAAGGAAATGAGCGCTGGCGGGTGTGATTCCTTTAAGTTCAGCTTGCTTTTAGCAATAACAGCTTCTGTTTGGTGTAAGTACATACGATGAGCAAATAAACCAAAAAACAACAACAAAAAAAAAGAAAAAAGAAAAGCGAGACTGTTTGTGGTTTGTTTTAGTCGCAGTTGAAGTAGCTAAGATAGTTTCAAAGGCTTTAAGGTGCAGCTTGTGGAGAGATGAATAATGCATCAACAAAGCAGCTTAGGAGTCAAAGTCAAACTTTCTCTTTTCTTTTTATCTGACTCACACGTACAGTACATGTGTGTAGAGAAAAGCACACAATCGAAACCGCAGCCACGAAATACGAGATCGGCACATACGCACGTGCACAAACGCGCATACAGGTAGCGAATGCTAATCCTATAAGAGGGTAATCCTTGAGTGCTCTGTTGCTCGTGGTAATTTACCTGCTGTTGTGACAAGAACTTGCAACTGGAAGGACTGGGATATGGATATGTACGCGCACATACGTGCACGCACGGGAATACATGAACACAAAGACGCTTAATCAATCCATGATGCCCATTTCGGTTTTTGGTTAACATCAACCACTTTTCTGTTCAGCTTTGTCAGTTTGTTTTTAAAGAGGGCCTTCAAGAACTAAGAAGCTGGGCCATGTGGTGACCCCGTCTCTTCTTTCCATTAACTGATATCCTTGTTGCCATTGTGAGTTTTTTGTGTTGCTATAGTAAGTAAAGCCTTGTGTTGTTCAGTATTAGTAGTACCTTCACAGATGCAGAGGCTGACCATATGTCATACACCCTGGCTTTTGCAGCAACAAGATGATCTTTTAGATGATTTTAATCTTTTTTAATAAATTGTTTAATATCATGATTGAGTATTAACTTGAATTTACTGATGTAGCTCCTGTTTGCATTAACAGTAGTTTCAAGAAAGCTCAGTCCTTGCAGAAATGTGTCCATTTTAATGCAGTGCTGCCATGATCACTGCCATTCAGTATTTGTTGTCATTGTAAATTTTGGTTACTTTTTGTGAGATTCTCTGATATCGTTTAAGAGTATTACTTTCTATAGATGATACATTTGCCTAAAAATCTGTGTCAGCTGGAAAATGCTCGGCTCCCCGGCAACCCTGTATTAGCTAAGAAATATGACTAGTAGAAGATGATGGATGGAATTTATTTCGGAAAGAGCCGTTTGATGTTTTGCACACACTCCTTTCTTGCTGGGTTATTTTTCACAGCATAGAATGCAATAAAATATATCAGAAGAGAAAATGAGAAAATAGAATTAAGAGAAAGGACTGAAATGGAATTTAAGTGAAAAATTTAGGACCGGAATACAGATTAGAGTCAAATTGAAGTAGAATAAAATATGCGAATTGAAAAAAAGCTCACCTCAAAACCAATTCAATAGTTTCACTCGGGCATTTGATCATGTTAAATGATATGCAGTGAAATTTCATGGAATTATTTTATTATTGCATTTCCAATTGTTAGTCATGATTATTCTTTACTGTCTTGAGGTGAGATTTGTTTCCCACTGCTCTCTCCAAGATCAAGCATGAACTTTAAGCCTGAACTAGAATAGAACAGAGTAAAACAGAACAGAATAGACTCAAATAAGAATTCTCTCTGCTCTGTGACTCCAAACAAGACCTACTGTAGGTATTTATAATCCAAACTTTTCTTGGGTACAGACCCCAGCTAAACTATCTCAATCATCACAGCTTAACATACTATAAATGTCTAATCTACCGCATGATGTCATATATGATGGTAGTTTTTCTGTCTTTAAAATAAGAGACAGAACAGAAATTCTAAGTTTGATAAGGAGGCACGTTTTCCATCACTTCAAATAAACCATCTGACATGATGGGGCATGCCTTTTATTTTTTGGGAAGCTGACCACTTGGTATTCATGTGCACGATCATGCATGTGCACACACACACATAAAGAACTGCAGTCATGCCACCGCAGAAAGCAATTACGGAATCATGCATCCTTTACATATGAATGAGCTCAGCAGTCCCTGCCTTCACTGACAAATACACACAATAAGCCTGAGTGTGTGTGTGTGTGTGTGTGTGTGTGTGTGCGCGTGCGTGCGTGCGTGCGTTGATCTGTACCTTGTGAATGCACTGCATGTGTGTCCATGAGATAAACCGTGTGCACAAACAAGACTGCGGGAGAAGTTTCTCTGCACTGGTATGTGTATTGTGTAGTCCCAGTGTCTGTGGCTCTGTGTGTGTGTGTGTGTGCGCGCTTCCGTGTGCAGTGGAGGGTAGAGCGACAGGATTAAATAAATCACTGGTGGAGAGAATATTCATGAAAAGAGAAGTGAATGCAACCTGGGAGAGAGAAGGGGGAGAGAGAGAGAGCAGGAGAGAGAATGTGACAGTGATGTATTAAATGACAAATAGCCCTTGCAGCGTGCATGGACGAACAGTAGCCCAGTAGCAATCATCATAATCTGCATTTAACCTCTGCCACATCATGTGGTGCCGTGCCACTCGGCGCCGAGGAAGAAGGGTAAATCTTTTATGTGATGTGACCATTCCACATTAATTTGGTACAGAGATGTTGATGTGTGGGGACAGAAATGGTCAGCTTCTAGGTATTCGTACTATTGCACAGAAAATGTAAATTATGCTATTGTGGTAAAAATCAGCAGCTTGGGCTTTCAATCACCTGATTACATTATAAGATTGGCTGGTGTTTAACTTGAGAGCATCTCGAGAGCTGGTCGGCATTGTGAATTTCCTCCCCAAGAATAGCAGATAACAGCAACAATAACCACAAGGTCTTAATCCAAACCCAAGAAAAGAAAATCATCCTTTTTTTCTATTCAACAAGAGGAACTTTTTGATAGCGTGTGTTTTAATAATGGAATCTGAAGCAGAAAATTGCCTCTGCTAATCTGCACCAACTGCCTTGTTTGACTGAAATTAAAGGTGAGCTCTTATTAAAAAAAAAAAAAAGCTAGTCTGATAGCCAACTTTTGCAGGGAAAAAGAAGCAAAATAACACTCCAATTGCTTTCTGTCTGTGACGTTTTGCATAAATACGTGCAGCACTGAGGGGGAAAGATTAGGCTCAAATCGTTAAAGTTTCTCATTATTTTTTGTCTCACCTTGGCAGTGTGCGGCTTTTATGAAGAAAGCTCAAGTTCTGGTCTGCTGCAAAGCATGACACTGGGGAATTAGGCAATAAGAAGAAAAAGAGAAGATCATAAGGACACCGCTTTTTATTGTTCTCCATGTCTGAGATGGTACTGCTTGTGTTTGTGCGTGTGTGTGATGTGTGTGAATGGTTATTAATGTATGATGACAAGGATTTGGTTTCATTTAAAGAAGCAGCCGAGGCATTGTACTTTTGGTTTTTAATATTACGCTGAGTGGAGAGGAAGAGAAGAGAGGATCAAAGATGTCATGGCTGGGGTGAGATCAAAAGAAATGGCAGAGCATGCATCGTGTATTGTTGGAGGCTTTGTCAAGCTTTTATTAAACTGCCATATGGATAACACTCGCAACATTGTGGTTCGGCAGAAATCTTACTTTGAGATCACATCAAATTAGAGCTGCAGACTTAGCTACAGCTTGTGAGGTGTCTAATGCCTGACTAAATTCAGTAACTTTGATTATTCTGGTAGTCGGAATAATCACTTATCCTACCTTTGCAAAGTGTGCGGCAATCCTTAAGTCCTAAGCTCACTTCACACGATATGACACCAGCCCAAAACTTTACCAAGTTTAATCTCAACTCCTGCGAACACACAAAGTCTTCATCTCAAATCTAGAACAACCCAAAGACTGAAGACAGACAGAACTCTCCCTTTATCTTCATATGCTGACAGATGAAATGCTGAAGGCAGATAAGGACGTAGGATAAAAAATTCGCACTCTGTTGGCCTGGCTGATTGATCCCCGCCAACCTCTTTGTGGGAATACAGGGAGAGAGAGATGGGAGTGGATAAGGACAGTGTTTCATTAAAACAGGTGACATGCGGGAACAAGATAAGAGGCGCATGTGCACGTGTGTTTGTGTGACATCTCATCACTGATAACTTTTCAATCAGGAAAACTTGCGCTTGGACGACTCACTCGAGTTAGGAATGATAGGGGACTGCTATCGCCTTCCATCACTCTCCCTTCTATCAACAGTTTCAATTCCAGTTTGGTGCCCTGTCATTTGTCCTTTTCTTTTAACAACTACACTTCCCCTTAAAAACAGTGTAGCTTTTAAGCACAGAATACAAATCGCATCAAAGCCTGAGCATATTATTTCTGCACGGTAAAATACAATCTAGAACATGATTTCATAATTTGCCTCTCAGTGAGGCGACATGCTCTTTGTTCCCCATTAGCACCAGGTAATCTTTAGATCATTAAATAATTTGCTGGTTCAGCATGTTCTTATGCAAGGTCCCAATGCTCCCCCCCAAAAAATGATACTGATATCAATGAGATTTTTGCCTTGTTAGTTTTTTTCCCCTACATACAGGAATTTTTAGGCCAAAAAAAAAAAAAGCACTTTAATATCAATATACCAAAGATCACATTAACTTAACTCTAATACACATCTTTGCTTATTAAACACACACATCAGGTTATTGACTATACTGTATGCTTACATACCTAGTCACTCCACAAAGGGCCTGTGCTGAAATTCTGCTCATCATATCAAGCAGAAAATCATTTAAATCAA